GCAATAACTCACTTCACTCTCCCTAGTAACTATTCATATTTTCAATAATGTCACTATCTACCCGTTCCACAACTGCACGGCAGACAGAGATGAAGCTTAAAATGGCCCTACAAAAGCTTCAGGCATCCAAAGATCTCAGTGACAAGTTGGCCAGGGAGAGAGAAGAGAGTGAAGATGAAATTTTTAAAATTATAAATAAAAATACCCTATTAAAATCAGAATTGTCAGAACTTCATAATAGTTATCTGGAAGTTATTGAGCAGCGGGATCAGCTTCAAGAACTAATAAGTAGCTTTCATCAATGTAGTGACACTCATGAGCAAGCCTTGAGGCGTATCACTGAATTGGAGCTTGAGTTAAAGCAGGCATATTCTAAAATCAATGATCTAGACACAAGATTGGAATCTATCTACAAAGTAATGAGATTAGTAATTTATATGAGGAACTTATTAGTGTTGACTGTGTGCCTCCTTCTACTACAGATCCATGCACCCATCCTGTTGTGATTGACCTTACTAGTAATACATCACCTAAATTGGGCAACTATAACAATAACATTTGTATGTTGAGTAATAATAAATTTAAAAAATATTTAAAACTAAAAAAGTTTATAATTAAGAATCGGAATATATTAAATAAGCGTTGCAAAAAGGGACAGCTATAGAAAAAAAAAACTTTAAATAATTTAAAATTGCATGATTACATTAATATGTATAATAATAAGTTCGTGGAAAGCCAAAAGTTATATGACATTGATACAGACTACCTAACTTCAAAAATCAATAGTTTAGAATCTTCGCTTCATGATTTAAATACAAAGTATATTATCTCTCAGAAACAAATCCAGGAGCCTATTTTAACAATGGATGATCTGATTGATGTCAGTAAATACAATGCTGAACGTTTTGAGTCGTTGACTAAGTATTGTACATATAATCACACAAATATATCAAATAATAATTCAGTTGTAACTGTACTGGAAAATGAAGTTCAGGGTGTTGTGCCAGTGACTGTAACCCTAACAGTAGCACAATGGTGTTCTCTGACAGAATAGGCTGTAACTTTGGGTCTATTTTATAGTATCAGGTGATTTATTAAACTACTGTATGCCAGAAGCATCATTTGCACGAATAATAAATAAAATTAAGTCTACTAAAATGAACAATATGATGACCACAATAGTTTTATTCTTCGGTAACAGTATTCAATTAAATAGGTAGGATGTAGTCAAAGGAATTGAATATTTATTACAGTTAAATGTGTATAAGATTGTATTGTGCGCTTTTCCTTACACAAATAGACATTTCATAGAAAAATTAACAGTAAGGTACATTACCTGAATAACTTATTACATACATTGACATGTCGTCATAGTGACATTTTTACATTTTTTGATACTAATAGCTTTATTAGTGATTTTTATTTTATTTGATAAAAAATACAATGTATCTTTCTAAATCATCTAAAAACAAAATAGCCACTTTAGGAGCTTATCTAGACACGCGGTAGCGTGTCAAGCCGAGTTTCAAGTAAGAGAACTGGCGAGCAGCACCGTGTGTATATTTACACGAACCATTTGGAGCCACTTTTGACCCCCTCATAACTCAAAAACTTGTTCACATAAATTTGGTTCATATATTGAGACTTGCGAGATAAATATGTATTCCAAATTTCATAAACATATCTCAAACGGTTATTTAGATATTAACGTCCAAATATCGTCATTTTTATCACTGATCAACTATAGATCAAAATTATAACCCACTTCCAGATGACTTAGGAAGTTCAAATTTGGCATGCAGATAGGTAATTAGGTGAATATAAAGGAAAAAATCTGAAACTGGTAAATTGTTATCATTTTATTATAATTTATCACTTTAATTGATTCTATTTCAACTTATATTGGACGAATACTAAAATTCTAATTAAAAATTAAAAAAAAACGTCGATAGCCACAAATGAACATTGATCCCTGGCAAAAATAGCTCATCTTGTACTGGACGGAAAGTAATATTGTATGAAAACGTCGATCTTTACCAATTTACGTTAACCCCTTCACATCATTGTCGGTAACTAGCAAACTTCAAAAATTGCATTGAGCGGTAAACACTAGTTGCTATAATTTAGATTCTGTCTAAAATATACTCGTACTTATAATTAAGAGTATAGTCGAATTTCGTATTTATTATGTTATTAACTGAGATTTGGTATTAATTATTGTTTTAATATTTAGCGCACATCGATAGTGTAAGATAATTATTTTTATAAATAATTATTAAATAATAGGCATTTCGGTGTAGGGCGCCGCGGCGGCGCCGTGTGGGAGCGGTGCGATAAAACGTTGACGCGAACCTGTCCGAGCGAGTGGCAGCCGCCCTCATAAGCGCGAGCGCCGTCTCAATGTTAACATACGAAAATACAGTAGTTTATCAAAAATAATTTGGTATTAATTTAGTTATAAATAAGTACCTCGTATAATTTATGTACAAAAAGTAATGATATCCCATCAAAAACATAAATGTGAAATGATAGCCGAGTTTAATATTATGATATATGCCTTGATTGTTGTCTTCTACGACAAAAGAGGTGAGATCTAAATGGGTGCCAAGTTCAATGGTCTGTCCTGAAATGTATTTATTACAATATAAAATATCATATCTTCTTATCACTTAGTATAATTTACTGTAGCCTAAAGTCTAACTTGGCTAGTTTTCATATACGAAATATACTGTAGCTTTCGCAAGTTCTAAACATGTTACTTGTCGGTTCCTATTTCATTATTAGTAGTAACTAGCAATCGAAAGTAATAATTGGTATATGAGAACTGGCCAAGTCAGACCTTAGGCTACAGTACTTCTTATAACTTAGGATAAGTTATAAGAAGATATGATATTGTATATTGTTATAAATACATTTCAGGACAGACAATGGTCTGTCCTGAAATGTATTTATAACAATGGGTGCCAAGTTCAATGGAACTTGGCACCCATTTAGATCTCACCTCTTTTGTCGTAGAAGTCAACAATCAAGGCATATATCATAATATTAAACTCGGCTATCATTTCACATTTATGTTTTTGATGGGATAATATTGACTACATGAACAGTTTACATGGTAAACTTCAACATAAAAATACTGACATAACAAATAATTCTATTAATATTTGTGACATATGTAAGCACTATGACTGCAGATTTAAACTGCTCACAAAGACAAAGGGAAAGCAATTAGAATTAATAATTGTTCATCAGAACATACAAAGTTTTCCCGGCAGCGAGTTAATTATACAATTATTTTTAGAAAAGTATAATATTGATATTGTCTGTTTCACAGAACATTGGCTTAAAGAGAGCAATATGATGTTCAATTTAAATAATTATAACGTTGTCAGCTGCTTCAATAGAAAGTCAGTTAACAGAGGTGGGTCTATGATAATTGCAAGAAATAATATTAAAGTAAAGGAACGTGCTGATATTGTTAGACTTTTTATTGAGTGTTGCATAGAATTATCTTGTATAGAACTAGAAAATTATATCCTTATATGTGTGTACAGGCCTCCTAATAGATGAAAACGCCACTATGTCAGTTCGCCTCCACGACCAGAATTCGAAGCCTATCCAACTGCAGCGAGGCGATGTCATATCGCCGAAGCTGTTTACTGCTGCGTTGGAAGATGTTTTCAAGCTTCTGGACTGGAGCGGGCTTGGCATCAACATTAACGGCGAGTACATCAATCACCTTCGATTTGCCGACGATATCGTGGCCATGGCTAAGACCCTGGAAGACCTTAGCAAAATGCTCGAAGACCTCAGTAGTCTCACAAGGAGTGGGTCTTAAAATGAACATGGACAAGACGAAAATTATGTCAAACGTCCATGTCGTACCTGCTCCCGTAAAATCGGAGATTCTACACTCGAAATTGTCGATCACTACGTATACTTAGGGCAAACTATCCAGTTAGGTAGATCCAATTTCGAGAAAGAGGTCAATCGTCGAATCCAACTCGAATGGGCAGCGTTAGGGAAGCTCCGTACATCTTTTCGTCCAAATTACCACAGTGTCTCAAGACGAAAGTTTACGACCAATGTGTGTTGCCAGTGATGACTTACGGAACAGAGACGTGGTCGCTAACTATGGGCTCCATCAACAAGCTCAGAGTCACTCAGAGGGCAATGGAGAGGGCTATGCTTGGAGTTACTCTGCGTGATCGAATCAGAAATGAGGAGATCCGCAGAAGAACCAAAGTGACCGACATAGCCCGAAGAATTGCGACTCTGAAGTGGCAATGGGCAGGGCACACAGCTCGTAGGACAGATGGCCATTGGGGCAGTAAAGTCCTCGAGTGGCGACCACGAACCGGAAGACGCAGCGTGGGAAGGCCTCCAGCAAGGTGGACCGACGATCTGGTCAAGATCGCTGGAAGGCATTGGATACGAGCAGCGCAGGACCGATCGTCGTGGAGATCTTTGGGGAGGCCTATGTCCAGCAGTGGACGTCTTCCGGGCTGCGATGATGATGATGATGATGAGTTCCTGCTGCAACACCGCGATAGATTCATCCCTGTCACACCCGTACGAATTTCGCTACGATTCGTCTTTGTCATCGGTGTACAAACACAGAGTTAATTACCAAAGAGCATTAGCTTGCCGGAAGAGACTTAAAATGTTGCGTTCGCCGTCTGGACGATATGGTTCTGATCCAAAACCTAAACGATTCTAGTTTTGTGTTACGGAAGCGTAAACACGACGATGAGTTTACTGACCTATTTAACAAGTTTACAGCAAATATTACCTCCAAATTAGCCGCATGGAAAGATGAGGTCACTAATGAGATATCTAAGATTAGTACTAACATAAACACAGTATGAGAGGATATCTCAGAACTAAAGGAAGCATCCCAAGAATTTAAGACGGAGATTGGAAAAATTCGGAACGATCACCAAGAAATTAAAGAAATTACTCAAACTCTGAACGACGGACACATTAAATTAAACACGGAAATGGACTTAATAAGGAATTCTATCGAATTTCACAGTGCTCAATGTGAAGATCTTAACAAGAAAGTAAATTTATTTTCGGATGATATTAAAAACATTGTCACATTGGAATCAAAATTGATTGCTATACAAAATGAAAATAGACAATTGAAACAGCTGATAAACTCTAATGATCAACGTGAAAGACTTTTAAACCTTGAAATTGTGGGTATCCCAGAAACAGCCAATGAACACCCAACTAATATAGTAATTAACTTAGCAAAACTAGCAAATGTTGATATAGTACCTGCCAATATTATTTTTGTCAATAGAATTACCCCGAAAAACAAACAACATGGAAGGCCTAGAATTTTAATTGCACGATTGTCATCGCGCTTATTAAAAGACAATATTATCTCAGGTGCACGCAAATTGCGTTTGACTACAAAAGACTTAGGCGTGAGTGGAGAAGTGAAACCTGTTTACGTCAATGATAACCTGACGCCTCAGAACAAACTACTGTTAAAAAAGTGCAAAGAAACAGCAAAAATAAAGGAATTTCAATATGTTTGGACAAAACACGGAAAAGTTTATATCAGAAAAAACGATACCAGTCCTTTGATTCAGATTTTAGACGAGGAAGACATGAAAAGGAAGATAGCCTAGTTCATAGAATTCTTGTTAGATGTCTCATCCATAGTCCCTTAATTATTATGGGTGTTGAAGTTGTACATCAGCCTAAACAAGTCACTTCTAGTTGTTCTTATTCTCTAGTTCATATTAATAAATTTCAATGTCGGTACTTGCAGATACTTTGTGTTATGCTATCGCGTACAAAAATGGATCTATCACAGTTAAATTATAAAACACTAATAATCTATGTTATTTTATATAATTTAATACAAATACCTATATGTTTTTGTGTCTATACATATCTAATTGTGCTATTGTTTCATTAGGTAATAACAATTTAAACGTCACGTCACGAACTTTTATCTACCGTAAAGTTAATACCGTGTTAATGCATTATTTTCTTAACGCTTCTTGTCACCCAATTTTTTATATGCCCATTATAGTAGTCAATATTAAAATTAATTCGTTGTACATAACTATATGTCGGACATTCTTGTTAGTATATTGTGTGCTCCGAGCACACAATATATGAACTGAGTTAAAGACCTTATAATTATAATTACGATAAAATACACAATACCTTACAGTGTCCAATTTTAATTGCATACGTATTTTCTATCAGAATACTCGTGGTTTAAGAACAAAATGTCCAGAATTTAGACAAAATATTTTATCTAACGAGTACGATGTAATTGTTATCACGGAGACGTGGTTACATAACGGGATTTTTGACCGAGAACTATGCGATGCCAGGTACCACGTTTTCCGACAAGATCGGGATGTGATTAGTAGTCACAAATCACTAGGCGGTAGAATGATGATTTTGACCAAACGGGAATTACGAGTTAGGCGTGCGGAGGTCCGGGCGCCGACCCCTATCGAGATGTTGACCTTGACGATACCGGCAAACGCGCTAGGCACTACACCCGGTCATACTTGCGTCGATTTATGTATTAGCGCTGTATACATTAATACTAATACGTTGTCACTCGATATTAATTATATTATACAAGAACTAAAAACCATGTACGGTCATTACTATTCTCAACAAAATTATTTATTGGTCGGGGATTTTAATTTACCTTGTATCTCTTGGTCTAAAGAAGGACCGGTACACAGAAAATATGGTAGTACCAGTTTACAAAATGCCGGAGTATATTTAGTAGAAGAACTTAGTCTTTTGGGTTTATCACAATATGATATCCTACAAAATTACGCAGGTAATACGTTAGATTTGGCATTTTCTAATTTACCTCTTAACATCGATCCATGTTATAGCCCACTGGTAAAGTTAGATCAAGCTCATCCCACTTTTACTATAGATATATATGACATTAAAGTATCGCAACTAAATGAGATCTCACCACCAAATCGTAACTTTAGAAGAGGTGATTATGAGGCATTAAATGAATATCTATATAAATTTGACTGGAATAGGGTGTTATTAATTGAAAGTGTAGAGGATTTAACCATAGCTATATACCAAGTAATTTATGAAGCCATTGAAAAGTATATACCATTAACTAAAACCCGTATCAGCAACTTATATCCTATTTGGTACAGTCTAGCACTCATAAAGATAATCCAAGAAAAGAAGAAAGTACATGCCAAATGGAAAAAGAGTGGGAATAGACGTTACTATGACGAGTTTACTTTACTACGTAAAAGACAAAAATCCGTTCAAAAAAACACTTACACTAATAATATTCAAAAAACAATAAAAACCAAACCAAACGCTTTTTGGTCATATATAAAAAGCATGCGTAATGGATCTAATTACCCTAAAATTTTATCATACGGAGATCTGAAGTGTACAGATGGCAGCCAAATTTGTAAAGCTTTTAACGAATTTTTTAAAAGTGTGTTTGGGAAACCAATCACATCAGTTATACAACCTAATGAATTGAAAACAAATGACAACGCTGACGCTATATTTAAGTTGCATATTTCAGCATCAACTGTAGAAAGGTATTTAAAAGCGCTCGATATAACCAAAGGCCGGGCAGTGATGGCATACCATCCATATTTTGGTACATTTTTAACAAATCATTACATGAAGGCATATTTCCTTCAGTCTGGAAAAAGGCTCATATTGTACCTCTTCATAAAAAAGGTTCTAGAACAAACGTCGAAAACTATAGAGGTATATCTCTACTAAACACAATTGCAAAAGTTTTTGAAAAAACGGTATACGATAGACTATACTCGGTTATTGACTAGGGCATCTCTAAACACCAGTATGGTTTTTTCAAAAATCGTTCAACAGTAACAAATCTGACTTGTTTCTCTGATTTCATATTGACAAATATGGATGGTGGGGGACAAGTTGACGTTGTATATACTGATTTTGAGAAAGCCTTTGATCATGTAGATCATGTGTTTTTGTTGAGAAAGCTATTTGAATTAGGAATACGTGGTGATTTGCTGAGGTGGATACAATCTTATCTATCAAATCGCTCACAGGCTGTCGTAGTAGGAGGATATAGATCCGATTTTGTGGAGATACCAACTGGTGTCCCACAAGGTTCACACTTAGGGCCGTTATTATATAACGCATATCTTTACGACATAGTGTGGAATACAGACATAACAGTGTGGAATATGCTGATTATCTTATGTATGCCGATGACAAAAAAATATTTTACAGGATCAATTCTGAATCGGACTGCCTTCGACTGCAATCGGACCTAAATAAACTATTTAAATATTATTTAGATAATCAAATAACAGTAAATGTAAAAAAAATGTCAATGTATTACTTACACGCGTAAAACGAATCCTATTGTATATACATATAATATTAATAACTTAGCAATTGTCAGATCTGATGTAGTTCGTGATTTGGGAGTATTTTTTGATCACAAAATGTTACTTAATAGTCATATTGATAAAGTAGATAAAGCATATAAAAATTTAGGATTTATAATTCGTGCTTGTAAAGATTTTACTGACGTACAGGCTATTAAAACCGTGTATTATGCCTATGTGCGTAGCATTTTGGAATGCGCAAGCCAGGTATGGTCACCGCAATATTCAGTGTATAAAAACCGTATAGAGCTTAACAGAGGATATTTGTAAATCACTAGAAGATAGACGTGAAGTGTTGGATATGTGTCTACTTCACGATATCGTACGTGGTCGTTTTGACTGCGAGGAGCTGGTAGCTGCCGTGTCTTACCGTACACCGTCGCGCCGCACACGGCACACCCCGCTTTTGGCAGTACCTCGCCGTGCCTCAAAATATGCAACTAACTCACCCCTCGCTAGAATTTCTCGTGTATACAATAACGACTTTCATGACGTGGACTTGTTTTTTCACACAAAAGGTACATTTAAAAAGCACATTGTTAAATATATAAGTGACAATTACGAAACGACAGTCTAGTATCTATAATATGCATACTGCATACATTGTATGGACAAATTACCGGCATCAGTGTGTAGTATATATTATATGGAGATGTATAGCTTCCACACTCATTCATTCATTCAATCATATATTTCATTCATTTATTTGTGTATTAAGTTGATTAATTAATTTCCTATTTGGTTGTTTTGTTTTAACGCAAGCCAATACAATATACTTTGTGTTATTAAGTGAAACCTATAGTAGCTTTAATATTACAACATACATTAATGTAAATTAAATTGTAACGCTGTTGGTTCCTAATAAAAAAAAAAATACAGACAGCCACTAGTACTTTTCCTATCAATTTTGTCAGATGCCCAGTCTGCGTTCGAAAATGTTATTAAATCCGGACTATTCCTCCTTCTGTATACTAGACCTTTCTCTTTCGTCCCCTTCAAGTACCGCAGTACTCTTTTAGCTGCCTTCCAAATACTCTCTGTAGGTTTATCTAGAAAACGGCTTAAATATGAAATTGCAAAAGTGATATCTGGTCTACTGTTAGATGATATAAACAGTAAAGAACCTATTAATTCTTTATATGGAACTTCAATTATTTCTTCTTTCGTAGTTGCATCAAATCCTGCCTCCATAGCTGTAGTAACTTCTCTGCATTCTTTCATATTAAATTTTTCTAATATTTTCTCTGTTTTGTTTGATTAATCTTAATACCATCCTCTATTTTCTCAATTATTATTCCCAAAAAAACTTTTTATTTCTCCTAGATATTTTGTTTTAAATTCTTGATATAACAACTTCTTTATACGTTCTACCTCTTCTTCCTTCCCCATTAATAAAATATCATCAACATAAACTAATAGTTTTACATCTTCATTAAAATACAAACAAAAATCGTAGCCTGATCTTTCAGACCTATTTTCAGCATAATAATATTAAATTGTTTGTTCCAACATTTAGGACTTTTCTTCAAACTATATAAACTACGTCTTAGTTTCAATATCTTGTTTCCTTTAATTTCAATTCCTTGTGGTACTTTAATATACACATCTGCTTCTAAAAATCCGTTAAGAAACGCTGTAGGTACATCCAGTTGGTAAACTGGTGCTTGTATTTCTACCGATTGAGCTAAGAATGCTCTTACAGTTGACATTCTCGCAACTGGTGCATGATTTGTCTCAAAATATTTATCAGCTACTTGATAACCTTTCACCACTAGTCTGGCTTTTTTGATGCCATTATCTTTGATAGTAAAAATCCATCTTGTATCAATAGATTTTAAACCTTCTTTGTTTTCTACAACTGACCAAGTTTCTAGTTTCCCTAATGACTCTACTTCTTTGTTTATAGCTTTTTTCCACTCTAAATCTTTAACGGCTTCTTTGTATGTTTGAGGTACATCATTTAGACAATTAGTTATTAAACATATTCACATCGGCATATTCCGTATATATTTCATAATCATGTAAATTTCTAGGCACATTTATTTCGCGCCCAGGACGTGTTCTTACCTTTTCATCTTCTATCTCATTATCTTTTTCTTCATCTATTCTTTCTTGTTCTGTATAGGCTTATTACTCATATTTTTATTATCCTTTTCATCATCAATTATTATAATCTTCTCATTTTAATGTTTGTTATCCACACTTTTTTCTTTAGGGCAGAATAT